TCCTCATGTGTAACAATATGCCGTCAAATTTCTATGTTCTTGAACATATTAGCAAGTATTAAATAAAAAAAAATAAATAAAAAAAAACTATTATAAGGACGAAACTGCGGCAGATCCAGCCAATCGGTAGTGGATATAAAAGTCCCCCCCCCCCCCCCCCCCCCCCAAAAAAAAAGAGCTTTAGAAACTGTATGTGACATTCGAAAATCCATCAAACGTAACAAAATACAGGGCTCAAAAACAGGTCAGCCGTCTCACACTGAGTGGTCAGACATGGACATAAACAAGAGGACACGAGCGAAAACTAACCACCTGTGGGATGAGATGTTTGAGAATGGCTGTGTATAAAACCAGAAGAGATCGAATAAAAAAGACTTGATCACAAGTACTGTTGGAACAGCACCCATCGTCAAATTTACTGAGAAACAAAAGATGAAATGGTTTGGCCATCTAATGAGAATGAAACCAACCAACGATGCCATCAGCAAGAGCGTACAACACGAGAATCTAAACACTCTACACCCTGTGATGATCTGCACTTCGCTGATGATATTGCTCTTCTGTCCCATTCACGGAATCAGATGAAAGATAAATTAATTATACTTAATGCGAGATCACAGCAGCTTGGTCTGAAAATCCATAAAGGAAAGACAAAGATAATGAGAATAAATCAGGCAAATAGTAATGTCGTTTCTCTTTATGGCACCCCACTCCAAGACGTGGAGTCGTACACCTATTTAGGCAGTAATGTAGATAAAGATGGAGGAACTGATAGAGATATTAAAATAAGAATACAAAAGGCAAGAGGGGCTTTCATAGAACTAGGGAATTTGTGGAGTTCAAAAGAAATTAAAAGAAATACTAAACTAAAAATTTTTAATTCTAATGTCAAATCAGTACTATTGTATGGGGCGGAAACATGGAGAACAACCAAGGCAATTACTAATAAATTACAGACATTCATTAACTGGTGCCTGCGCAGAATAGAGGGAATAAAATGGTATGATAGAATAACTAATGAAGAACTTTGGAAGAGAACTAAACAGGCTCCAGTGGATCAGGAGGTGAGGAAAAGACGCTGGTGTTGGATAGGACACACACTGAGAAAACAGGAAAACAGCATAACTAGAATGTCTTAGCATTGGAATCCGCAGGCATAGGAATAAATGAAGGCCAAAAAACACATGGAGAAGAAAGCTGGAGAATGAGGTTAGAAAGATTGGGAGGACATGGGGAGAGCTCCATGCAATGGCGAAAGATAGAACGAGTTGGCGTGAGTTGGCTGAGGGCCTGTTGTACCCCTACATAATATCATTGTTGTATCCCTACATATATCATTGTTGTATCCCTACATACATCATTGTTGTATTCCTACATACATCATTGTTGTATTCTTACATACATCATTGTTTTATCCCTAAATACATCATTGTTGTATCCCTACACACACCATTGTTGTATCCCTACATACATCATTGTTGTATCCCTACATACATCATTGTTGTATCCCTACATACATCATTGTTGTATCCCTACATACATCATAGATAGATAGATTAGATAGATAGATAGATAGATAGATAGATAGATAGATAGATAGATAGATAGATAGATAGATAGATAGATAGATAGATAGATAGATAGATAGATAGATAGATAGATAGATAGATAGATAGATAGATAGATAGATAGATAGATAGATAGATAGATAGATAGATAGATAGATAGATAGATAGATAGATAGATAGATAGATAGATAGATAGATAGATAGATAGATAGATAGATAGATAGATAGATAGATAGATAGATAGATAGATAGATAGATAGATAGATAGATAGATAGATAGATAGATAGATAGATAGATAGATAGATAGATAGATAGATAGATAGATAGATAGATAGATAGATAGATAGATAGATAGATAGATAGATAGATAGATAGATAGATAGATAGATGTCCGCATAAAAACTCCCGTGACCTCGGTTCTTGTATATGTATGCCAAAGCTGGACAGTAGATAAAAAATGAACAGACGAGGGCAGTGGAAGTTTCGAACGCGCTTCGTAATGTTGGAGGGGGGGGGCGCCAAGTTTATTCCAAGCTGCGGGCCATCAGACAACAGGCCGTCTTGCGTTGATTTCGACAGTGGTACCGGGAGTCGACCGTCCAGGGGGCATTGGCAATCTACTGGACTTAGATTTGTCAAGAAAAACTACAACATAAAATGTTTCTGTAAAGCAAATAACTTTTAAGTAAACGCCGCTGGGCCCACAGTTTAAGGACCACTCGCCCAGCCAGGTGTATTTTTTTCTAACGCTAAAGTTTCAGAAAGCAAAAGTATCCAGGATTTATCCTATGTATTAGGCCAAACATGGTCTCATTTGGTCGGAGGCCGTGTTTAAAAAACGTGCTGCCCGTCATCTCGGATTAATTCAGCCTGGCAAATCCTCTACACAAGTTTGGCCAGGCTGCATTTTCATGGTTTAAAAAAAAAAAAAAGGAGATGTGCAATGCCGTGGACCCCGTGTGATTGAATGAGATGTGGGCTTGACTGGGACCAGGAGGGATTCACAAACACATTCACAAATAAACAGGTCACCGATTTTAAACTGAGAATTTTTATGTCAGCCGAATAATAAGAAGTGGAAGAAAAAAGGGGCGGGGGTGGGGATTAAAACAGAGATTAAAAAAATAGACAGACATTCTGGTGGTTATACAGACATGTAGCTAGACAAGGACATTCATATAACCAGACAGACATAAAAGTAAATAGACAGACAGTCCAGCAGCCGGACGGACTTACAGGTAACTAGACAGACAATCGCCTAGCCAGACAGACAGGTAGCTAGACATGGGCAGACATGTAGTGATACAAACATATAGTTAGCTAACCTATAACTAGACAGAAAATCAGGGAATACATATAACCAGACAGACAGACAAGTAATTAGACAGATGTACCAGTAAACAGACAGACAGGAACTAGACAGACGTGCAGGTAGCTAGACAACAGACATACATATATCTAGACATGGACACACATATAGCAAGACAGACAGATAGCTAGACAGAAATACACAGACACACCATGTGTTTGGGTGGATAGCTAATAACCTGCCTGCCCCAACGTACATGGCGATGAGCTGCTTCCCCTCCCCCACTCTCCCACGTCCGTGATGCCACTTCACTAATAATAATAATCATCATAGCATCTCCACCCCCAAATTAATTAAAAGAGACGGCAATATGGCAGTTTCTTCCCTTAAACTATTTTTACCACATTGAAGACATTCAAGCGGCAGCTTTATGGGAAGTGCGGACAAATACGGCATTTGTTTTGTGTTTGATTGTCCGGCAGCCGTGACAACAATCAAACATTCTCATTTCCTGTGACCAGGCCTGCTTTCTCATTTCTAGGCAATTTTATGTTCTCAACTGATTTTTTTTTTTATTTTATTTAAAAAAAAAAAAAAAATTATGACCAAATGAAGTGGCCATGTTTGAATGTCCAGTGGAGACAAGATTTGATTATTTAATTGTTTATGTATAACTGTGAATGGATCGACATGTGACAGTTTTGCAGTGCTAAAAATGCTCAACTGTGAATCTTCTCGTGTTGCCGGTGGTGTAGTCAATATGTGTCTCCAGCGGACACCCACTTTGAAACACAACGTGCTCCTTTTACAGACGGTAAATACGTGATGGAAGCGGCAACTGGAAAAGCCATGATTTTTTTTTGGATGTTCTATTAAATGCACACAATAAAAGAACACGCTGTCCTATGGTTGCAACTCACTGGAAATAAACCGATTACACACACAATAAGCTGACTGGGACAGGTGCGCTGATTGGGACGGGGAGGGGGGGGGCTGACTGGGACAGAGGGACTGACTGGGACAGGTGCGCTGATTGGGACAGGGGGTGCTCATTGGGACAGGGGTGCTTATTTGGGACGGGTGAGCTGACTGAAAAAGGGGAACTGATTGAAAAAGGGGCTGATTGGACAGGTGAGCTGATTGAAACAGGTGCGCTGACTGGGACAGGTGCGCTGATTGGACATGTGCGCTGATTGGACAGGTGCGCTGATTGGGACAGGTGCGCTGATGGGATAGGCGCTGATTGGGACAGGTGTGTTTTGATTGGGATATGTGCACTGATTGGGACAGACGGGCTGAACTGATTGGGGCAAGTGCACAGATTGGTACAGGTGCGCTGACTGGGACAGGGGGCTGATTGAAATAGGGGGCTGACTGGACAAGTGCGCTGATTGGAGCAGGTGGGATTGTGGTCACTTCAGTGGCAGACGGCCAATGGACGAGGAGGGGATAATATGGCAGTGAATGCTTCCAGAAAAAAGGAAAGAGAGAAAAAGGTAAGAGGATAACCGGGAAGGAGAAAGAGAGAAAGAAGGAAGAAAGAAAGAGAGAAAAGGGGTAAGAGAGAAAGAGGGAAGGTGAGAACTTATTATTAAATACATTTCCCTACAATTATCTTTGAATGATTCTGTTGCTTCTGCTTGTCGCCATCAGTAACCCCACCTTCTCCTTCTTCTTTTTCTTCTTAGACAAGCGCTGACGCAACAACCAGGAGCCAGTTGAATGTAGCAGCCTCTGGAACAGACAGAAAGGCTGATGTCAACTATTTGACGCACCAGGAACAACAAACTACACACACAATGCTAACTAGTAGCAGTAGCATGGCTCACAAGCTCAGTTGGTTAAACCTGCCTGCGCGGCGACCGGGTGACGAACTGCTTGGGGTCCGGGTTCATGCCCGGGGGTAGGCAGAAGAGACAACTTTCTTCCAGATTTACGGTATCTGTCAAGGAATCAAGGCTGACGGGTTGCGATATTTAAGTACTGAGAAAAAAGTTTACAACTCATGGTTTCTGGATACTTTAGTACAACATAACAACAGACTGGACCAGTTGGTTGCGGGCCGATGCTCCAATGGGTGATAACGATCAGAAGAAGAAACAGTAACTGTGCTGATACTTACCGCAGAACGGTAATCCTCAGCGTATTCACTGCAGCATCTACGATATCCAACGTGTGTCCCACATCTGCACAAGCCACATCGTTGACTCCTAGTATATAATCCCCTTCCGCTAGAGCCGATTCACTTGCCCTTCCGCCAGCAACTATCTGCGTGTACAAAGTGGCAACAAGCATCAATATATAGGCACACACACACACAGAGCAACAGCAACTATCTGCGTGTACAAAGTGGCAACAAGCATCAATATATAGGCACACACACACACAGAGCAACAGCAACTATCTGCGTGTACAAAGTGCCAACAAGCATCAATATATAGGCACACACACACACAGAGCAACAGCAACTATCTGCGTGTACAAAGTGGCAACAAGCATCAATATATAGGCACACACACACACAGAGCAACAGCAACTATCTGCGTGTACAAAGTGGCAACAAGCATCAATATATAGGCACACACACACACAGAGCAACAGCAACTATCTGCGTGTACAAAGTGGCAACAAGCATCAATGTATAGGCACACACACACACAGAGCAACATCAACTATCTGCGTGTACAAAGTGGCAACAAGCATCAATATATAGGCACGCCCACACACAGAGCAACAGCAACTATCTGCGTGTACAAAGTGGCAACAAGCATCACTATATAGGCACCCCCATACACACAGAGCAACAGCAACTATCTGCGTGTACAAAGTGGCAACAAGCATCAATATATAGGCACGCCCACACACACACAAAGCAACAGCAACTATCTGCGTGTACAAAGTGGCAACAAGCATCAATATATAGGCACACACACATACAGAGCAACAGCAACTATCTGCGTGTACAAAGTGGCAACAAGCATCAATATATAGGCACACACACACACAGAGCAACAGCAACTATCTGCGTGTACAAAGTGGCAACAAGCTTCAATATATAGGCACACACACATACACACACACACGCCCACACCCCTCCCCCACACACACACGCCCACACACACACAGAGAGCAACAACAGCTAAAATATTTTTTTCAACAATGTGAAAACAGCTATTAACGCAAAGAAAGAGAACAAAATATTGAGATGAGAATTGTCCGGTGTGGCATATACCCCCCCCCCCCCGCCCCCAACCCTTACAGAGTGTTGCGGAGACTTGGACATTGAGCCAGCAATTGGAGAATCGAATGTTGGAACTCTTCACTGACGATACGAACCAACAGGCAAGCGTTCCAGACGACAGCGGAGTTGAGCAGTGAAGCCTGGTGAAGCAGAGGTGGCACAAATATAATTGGAATACAACACAAGATGTGGCCACGAATCCATGATACTGGAAGAGTGTACAACAAAGGCGAAGGGCAGAAACTATTGGAGATTTATTACTGCCAATCTTCACCGCGGAGATGGAACGTCACGAGTTGACAAAGGAGATGGAATCTGTGACTGCAGCCAGTAGCTAACTCCTTTAGGTCTGACTGCTTCTTCCACTTGAACCCCAACTATCACATCTTGTGTTGTCTCATTGTTCACATTTGTTCAGAGTATGCTCGTGCAAACTGGCTTGTATATCATCTTTATATAGCCGCCCCTAGCTGAGCGTTGCTTCCATCATGGTCCGTCGGAACACTTCTCGGTTCTTGGTCAGTGGTTCTTTCCATGATCTGTCCATGATTACTCCACGATCTCTTCTTATCTGTTCATGAGATCCTAATGATCTCTCCATGATCTATCAATGATCTGTCCATAACCACTTCATGATCTCTCCATATCCACTCTATCTCAACGATCTGGTACGATCTCATTATGATATGTCCATGATCTCTCCATGATTTCTCAATTACCTCTCCACGATCTGTCTATATTCACTTTATCTCAACGATCTCTTTATGATATGTCCATGATTTCTCCATGATTTCTCAATGACCTCTCCACGATCTATCTATATTCACTTTATCTCAACGATCTCTTTATGATATGTCCATGATTTGTCCAAGATCTCTCTATGGTATGTCCATGAGATCTCCATGTTCTGCCCATGATCTCTCCATGATCTATTCATGACCTGTCAATGTCTACTATATCTCCATGATCTGTCCATGCCCACTCTATCTTCACGATCTGTCCATGCCCACTCTATCTTCACGATCTGTCCATGCCCACTCTATCTTCACGATCTGTCTATGCCCACTCTATCTTCACGATCTGTCCATGCTGACTCTATGTATACGATATGCCCGTGCCCACTCTGTCTCCAGAATCTGTCCATGATCTGCCCATGACCAATCTATATCCATTATCTGTCCATGTCCACTCTATCTCCAGGATATTTCCATTGCCACTCTATCTACATGATCTGTCCATGTCCACTCTATCTCCATGATCTGTCCATGCCCACTGTATCTCCAGGATTCAAACGTTCACCTACGTGCTGATCGAGCGTGACCTTTTCTCCCAGGAGACATGACTCTAGAACATTAACACGTCAATCTTTGGATTTTCTCAGGAGACATGACTCTAGAACATAAACACGTCAATATTTAGGTTCTCTCAGGATACATGACTCTACAACATGAACACGTCAATATTTAGGTTCTCTCAGGAGACATGACTCTAGAACATAAACACGTCAATATTTGAGTTTTCTCTACCATTCTCTACAAGAAACGCAATGGTTTTCTACAATTCTCTAACAAGAAACACGATGGTTCTCCACCATTCTCTACAAGAAACACAATGGTTCTCTACAATTCTCTACAAGAAACACAATGGTTCTCTACCATTCTCTACAAGAAACACAATGGTTCTCTACAATTCTCTACAAGAAACACAATCGTTCTCTACCATTCTCTATAAGAAACACAATCGTTCTCTACCATTCTCTACAAGAAACACAGTCGTTCTCTACCATTCTCTACAAGAAACACAGTCGTTCTCTACCATTCTCTACAAGAAACAGAATGGTTCTCTACCATTCTCTACAAGAAACGCAATGGTTCTCTACCATTCTCTACAAGAAACACAATGGTTCTCTGCCATTCTCTACAAGAAACACAATGGTTCTCTACCATTCTCTACCATTCTCTACCATTCTCTACAAGAAACACAATCGTTCTCTACCATTCTCTACAAGAAACACAATGGTTCTCTACCATTCTCTACAAGAAACACAATGGTTCTCTGCCATTCTCTACAAGAAACACAATGGTTCTCTACCATTCTCTACAATTCTCTACAAGAAACACAATCGTTCTCTACCATTCTCTACAAGAAACACAATGGTTCTCTACCATTCTCTACAAGAAACACAATGGTTCTCTACCATTCTCTACAAGAAACGCAATCGTTCTCTACCATTCTCTACAAGAAACGCAATGGTTCTCTACCATTCTCTACAAGAAACACAATCGTTCTCTACCATTCTCTACAAGAAACAGAATGGTTCTCTACCATTCTCTACAAGAAACACAATGGTTCTCTGCCATTCTCTACAAGAAACACAATGGTTCTCTACCATTCTCTACCATTCTCTACAAGAAACACAATCGTTCTCTACCATTCTCTACAAGAAACACAATGGTTCTCTACCATTCTCTACAAGAAACACAATCGTTCTCTACCATTCTCTACAAGAAACACAATCGTTCTCTACCATTCTCTACAAGAAACACAATCGTTCTCTACCATTCTCTACAAGAAACACAATGGTTCTCTACCATTCTCTACAAGAAACACAATGGTTCTCTACTATTCTCTACAAGAAACACAATCGTTCTCTACCATTCTCTACAAGAAACAGAATGGTTCTCTACCATTCTCTACAAGAAACGCAATGGTTCTCTACCATTCTCTACAAGAAACACAATGGTTCTCTACCATTCTCTACAAGAAACGCAATCGTTCTCTACCATTCTCTGCAAGAAACGCAATGGTTCTCTACCATTCTCTACAAGAAACACAATCGTTCTATGCCATTCTCTACAAGAAACACAATCGTTCTCTACCATTCTCTACAAGAAACACAATGGTTCTCTGCCATTCTCTACAAGAAACACAATGGTTCTCTACCATTCTCTACCATTCTCTACAATTCTCTACAAGAAACACAATCGTTCTCTACCATTCTCTACAAGAAACACAATGGTTCTCTACCATTCTCTGCAAGAAACACAATGGTTCTCTACCATTCTCTACAAGAAACGCAATCGTTCTCTACCATTCTCTACAAGAAACGCAATGATTCTCTACCATTCTCTACAAGAAACACAATCGTTCTCTACCATTCTCTACAAGAAACACAATGGTTCTCTACCATTCTCTACAAGAAACACAATGGTTCTCTACCATTCTCTACAAGAAACACAATCGTTCTCTACCATTCTCTACCATTCTCTACAAGAAACACAATCGTTCTCTACCATTCTCTACAAGAAACACAATCGTTCTCTACCATTCTCTACAAGAAACACAATCGTTCTCTACCATTCTCTACAAGAAACACAATGGTTCTCTACCATTCTCTACAAGAAACACAATCGTTCTCTACCATTCTCTACAAGAAACAGAATGGTTCTCTACCATTCTCTACAAGAAACACACACTACCATTCTCTACCATTCTCTACAAGAAACACAATGGTTCTCTACCATTCTCTACAAGAAACACAATAATTCTCTACCATTCTCTACAAGAAACACGATGGTTCTCTACCATTCTCTACCATTCTCTACAATTCTCTACAAGAAACACAATCGTTCTCTACCATTCTCTACAAGAAACACAATGGTTCTCTACCATTCTCTACAAGAAACACAATGGTTCTCTACCATTCTCTACTCTAAATTCTCGCAACAATCGTTCTCTACCATTCTCTACAAGAAACACAATGATTCTCTACCATTCTCTACAAGAAACACACTCCGTTCTCTTCCATTCTCTACAAGAAACACAATGGTTCTCTACCATTCTCTACAAGAAACACAATGGTTCTCTACCATTCTCTACAAGAAACACAATGGTTCTCTACCATTCTCTACCATTCTCTACCATTCTCTACAAGAAACACAATCGTTCTCTACCATTCTCTACAAGAAACACAATGGTTCTCTACCATTCTCTACAAGAAACACAATGGTTCTCTACCATTCTCTACAAGAAACACAATGGTTCTCAACCATTCTCTACAAGAAACACAATCGTTCTCTACCATTCTCTACAAGAAACAGAATGGTTCTCTACCATTCTCTACAAGAAACACAATGGCTCTCTACCATTCTCTACAAGAAACACAATGGTTCTCTACCATTCTCTACAAGAAACACAATAATTCTCTACCATTCTCTACAAGAAACACAATGGTTCTCTACCATTCTCTACAAGAAACACAATGGTTCTCTACCATTCTCTACAAGAAACACAATGGTTCTCTACCATTCTCTACAAGAAACACAATCGTTCTCTACCATTCTCTACAAGAAAAATAATGGTTCTCTACCATTCTCTACAGGAAACACAATGGTTCTCTACCATTCTTTACAAGAAACACAATAGTTCTTTACCATTCTCTACAAGAAACACAATGGTTCTCTACCATTCTCTACAAGAAACACAATCGTTCTCTACCATTCTCTACCATTCTCTACAAGAAACACAATGGTTCTCTACCATTCTCTACAGGAAACACAATGGTTCTCTACCATTCTCTACAAGAAACGCAATGGTTCTCTACCATTCTCTACAGGAGACGCAATCGTTCTCTACCATTCTCTACAGAAAACACAATGGTTCTCTACCATTCTCTACAGGAAACACAATGGTTCTCTACCATTCTCTACAGGAAACACAATGGTTCTCTACCATTCTCTACAAGAAACACAATGGTTCTCTACCATTCTCTACAAGAAACACAATGGTTCTCTACTATTCTCTACAAGAAACACAGTGGTTCTCTACCATTCTCTACAAGAAACACAATGGTTCTCTACCATTCTCTACAAGAAACACAATCGTTCTCTACCATTCTCTACAAGAAACACAATCGTTCTCTACCATTCTCTACAAGAAACACAATCGTTCTCTACCATTCTCTACCATTCTCTACAAGAAACACAATGGTTCTCTACCATTCTCTACAAGAAACAGAATGGTTCTCTACCATTCTCCACAAGAAACACTTTTTTCTCTCTATTTTTGTCCTTCCCCACCACCCCTTCTTCCCCAACACCGCCATCCTTTTTCTTTTCATCCACTGATATGTCCTGTAGTTGCCTGTCGGGTGACGCAAGTGTCAGACTTTCCTTCTGGTAGGCACCCACTCCCTAAGTACAGACAACCTACTGCAACAACACATACAAACACACATCTATTCGCGATATTTATAAACGCCATTCAGGTAGCAACTTCCCATCCATGTCTGACCCCACCTGACGGTTCGACCTGGGGACAAATATTTGAGTTTCTTTGAACAGCTGACACGGAATTTTTGTTTTGTGACAAATTCAGTTTCCGCCTTGGGCCCGTTTTTTTGTGTGTGCAACTGAACACTGTATGGCTAGATACGTTTAGGCCTGTATTTTCTTTCCCGCGCAGACAAACATCGGCATACACGCACACACATACACACGCGCGCGCACACATCCAGCTGAATGGTAATGAAGATGACAGAGCAGACGAAAATCGAAGCATTCTGATTATTTTATTATTTCTATCCCTCCTTGTTCTTCTTTTTTTTCAATAATTTACTTAATTTTAGCGCTTCTATCTTTGCTATTAATGCCGGGGTGCCGGGTTCGATCCCAGCTGCGGGCCATGCTCCTTGAGTTGGTTTCGACAGTGGTATCAGGGGGATGGCCGTCCAGAAGCAATGGCAAACTACTGGACGTGAATTTGCCTAGAAAAACCACACAACAGCCAGGAGCTCCTGTGGTTGGTTCTGCATTATCCTGTAAAGGATACGCAACTGACCTTATCTTTGCTATTTCTCTCCCTACCCTCACCTTAACTACTCCTGTATTATTCCCCCCCCCCCCCCCACATATGTCCATTTTCGTCTTGGGGGGGGGGGGGGGGGGGTGTGCTAACTATCTTTGCTCTTTCTTTCATTTTTATTATTTTCCCCAATTTATTCTATTATTTCCTCATCATCGTGGTCGCCCTGATCATCACCATTGACCTTGTTGTGTGGTTATATGCCACACAAGGCTCGCAGTCGATTTCTTCATTGTGTCCTGCCTTATGCAATCACTTCGATATCATGCATGTAATCCAGTCCAGCAGCCTTGGCTTCTCTCTTCGATGTTAATTGTTGGGGTTTCTTGTGGACCTTCTCGCCTCCTCAACCCCACGACCAACCCCTCTTCTTTCTCATCCTGTCTTGGGACCAGCTGTGGTATACACACACAGAGAGAGAGAGAGAGAGAGAGAGAGAGAGAGAGAGAGAGAGATAGAGAGAGAGATAGAGATAGAGATAGAGAGAGAGATAGAGAGAGAGGAGAGAGAGAGAGGCAGGGAGAGAGAGAGAGAGAATGGGGTGGGGAGAGAACTTTTATATCTTAGACACCACACACACACACACATTAGCACGATTTATGTAGCAATATCTCATACATACACACACACGCACACAACCACACTGGCTGGATTCACACACCTGTCGGTAGTTTTACTGATGTCCTATGTTGTCTATGTATCCGTGTACCCAAGTTCAAGGTGTCTCCTTCGTGCCAAAGAATGCATGGTTGTTGGGTGAACAGTCGTTAACGAAGGCAGTCAGGTGGATGTAATGTCCTAAGTCCCTTTCCCAGCTAATAGTGAGGGTACTGCTTGGGTGACTGTTTATTAACCCTTACATAATGCTTCAGGTCAAAATGGTCGCTAGCCGTGGCAAATTCATTTTGCTTCTGCCAGACGGTGGTCGTTGCACGTTTGCTCCATTTGTAGACAGGAAGGATATAGTTTCGTTGCCCAGCTTCAAAGTTGAGTGCATGGCGTGACACTGTGAGCTGCGGATTTCATTTGAAATGTGATAAACATTATGTGTGTTTTTCGTTGGCACAGGAGCGGGGCAACTATGGGGTGCCCCGTTTGCTATGAATCTGAAACTAAGATTACCAGTACGTATGACAGTGAACGTGAAGTGCATTTTATCGATGCCAGTTATGACCTTCAACCCTGGACACTAACAGACAACATACATATGGACATGGCGGCGGCGGTATCAACAACCAATATATCGACACTGTACAACATATCGTTGTGTGCACAACATTTCCCGTGTACAGCAAATAATTGCATGTACAACAAACATATCATCCCGTGTACAGCAAATAATTGCATGTTCAACAAACATATCATCCCGTGTACACCATATTGTAGTGTGTATATCATATGATTGCGTCTGAAACATATTATCGTGGATTTTCCGCTCAAGAAATTATGGTCACGCTTGGTATACATAAAGTGAATTGTCTGTTCTTACCTTTGAGATGTGCAGAGGTGTGATCAGGTCCCTCCCACCACTCAGGGCAAAGCCCCATGGTGGTCCACCTTTGAGAATAATTTCAAAAGGCCTTCGTCCTTGCGCTAAAATTAGATCAATTTTTGAAACTTGTGATCCTTCAACTTCCTTTACCACAGTATCTTCCTTTAATCCATCTTTATTTTCCTTCCCGGTTTCTGTACGCATTTCCATCCCGAACAGTTTTATCTGCACAGAAAAATCACTTTTTTAAAATCATAATTATATCGCTGGCGTCCATCAGTTGAACTATTTCAGGTGACATGAATTTATGACAAACTTATCCTCGATCTAACCAGCGAATCATCACAAATAACAATTTCACAACATAAATGGCAACTTTGTGGGCACACGAGTTGTATATTCTGTAGTACTTCTAAGCCTAAGTCAGGGCATCGGGATCAGTGCTCTATACCAGACACCTAGGCCAAGACGAGGCAGAAGAATGAGGCCTTTCATTTGTCATACAGTAATTTAAATCCGACATGCATGTACACGGTTGATGGAGGGATTTTCTATAAGCCTTTGATAGCTTATCACCCATTACCACAATGTTGGCAGTGCGATCCAATCCGATCTTGGACCTAGAATTGAGCTGACTGCGCTCTTGACCTATCTACACACCGGCGGGGCATCGTTACAACGACGTCGCTAGCAAGTCGTGGCAGACGAGAACTTTCACCGCGGGAAAGTTGCAGGTTTGAGTAACTCCTCCCCATTCCCCCCGACTATCCGAGGACGGCTGTATGGCATTGCTTTATATTCAAGAAAACAGAGGGAAATTAACCAGCAGCCTACTCACCTGTCAACCAGAGATGGTACCATTACCTAGCTACCTGAACATAGGCGCTGGGAACTGTAGCCGCAGGTTCACTCTCTCAGACTGCTGTTCGTTAATGTAAAACTATCATCCTTTTATTCAAGATTTTGCCTTCCAATCATTCTAACAATATTACTGTAACATTTAAAGTTACCGGACGACAAAAATGAGCTGCCAGGAGTAGAACGGATGTAAACAATGAGCACCAGGAGTAAAACGGATGTAAACAATGAGCAGTCAGGAGTAACACAGATGTAAACAATGAGCACCAGGAGTAAAACGGATGTAAACAATGAGCACCAAGAGTAGAAAGGATGAAAACAATGAGCACCAGGAGTAGAAAGGGTGTAAACAGTGAGCAGCCAGGAGTAGAACGGATGAAAACAGTGACCAGCCAGGAGTAGAACGGATGAAAACAATGAGCACCAGGAGTAAAACGGATGTAAACAGTGACCAGCCAGGAGTAGAACGGATGAAAACAGTGACCAGCCAGGAGTAAAACGGATGTAAACAGTGACCAGCCAGGAGTAGAACGGATGTAAACAGTGACCAGCCAGGAGTAGAACGAATGTAAACAGTGAGCAGCCAGGAGTAGAACGGATGAAAACAGTAACAGCCAGGAGTAGAACGGATGTAAACAGTGAGCAGCCAGGAGTAAAACGGATGTAAACAATGAGCACCATGAGTAAAACGGATGTAAACAATGAGCACCAGGAGTAAAACGGATGTAAACAATGAGCACCAGGAGTAAAACAGATGTAAACAGTGAGCACTAGGAGTAAAACAGATGTGAACAATGAGCACCAGGAGTAAAACGGATGTAAACAATGAGCACCAGGAGTAGAACGGATGTAAACAATGACCAGCCAGGAGTAGAACGGATGTAAACAATGAGCATCCGGAGTAAAACGGATGTAAACACTGACCAGCCAGGAGTAGAACGGATGTAAACAATGACCAGCCAGGAGTAAAACGGATGTAAACAATGACCAGCCAGGAGTAGATCGGATGTAAACAATGAGCACCAGGAGTAAAACGGATGTAAACAATGAGCACCAGGAGTAAAACGGATGTAAACAATGCGCACCAAGAGTAGAACGGATGTAAACAGTGAGCAGCCAGGAGTAGAACGGATGTAAACAGTGAGCAGCCAGGAGTAGATCGGATGAAAACAGTGACCAGCCAGGAGTAGAAAGGATGTAAGTAGTAGGCAGCCATGAGTAGAAAGGATGTAAACAGTGAAAAGCCAGGAGTAGAACGGATGTAGACAGTGAGCAGCCTAGAGTAGAACGGATGTAAACAGTGAGAAGCCAGGAGTAGAGTGGATGTAAACAGCAGACAGGAGTAGAGTGGATGTAAACAGTGATTAGCCAGGAGTAGAGTGGATGTAAACAGCAGACATGAGTAGAGCGGATGTGAACAGTAGAAAGGAGTAGAGTTGATGTAAACAGCCACTAATTTTATGCCACTGGTTATGCTGGTGCGGGGCAGGACATGGTTGTTTAGTCTTTAAGGCAGCATTTTTTCAGCACTACTGTAATACCGTACCGGCACCTTTTTTTTAGGCAGCATTATTTTCGGCGCTGCTAAAATAGGTACTCTGCGATGAGCACCAACACCTCATGTTTTAGACATCTTGTGAATAGTATCGGCATTTAAAATTTAAAAAAAAAAAATAAAAAAAATCCCTTGCACATTCCAAATGTATGAGTATTATAATTGAAAATATTTTCTATATATCTAAAAGTAGAAAATAAAATAACCGAACAACGACGCCGCGGAAACGGAGCGAGCTCTCTCCAAAAGAAAGGCAGTAAAGTAGTTAGCTCCCTAGAAAACTCACAAACTGTGCCTGAAAGTTGGAAACGGTTGGTTCTGATAATCGTTTCTTTCTCCTAAACTCTTTCTTGACTTAACATTTCACGATCCTTTGGTACCAGGGTTCCATTTCTGCGACTGATCGATTCATTAAAATACATTTTTATGATTTTCTTACAGTAATAACTAATAAAACCAGAAGAGATCGAGTGAGAAACGATGTGATTACAAGAACTATTGGAACCATACCCATCGTTAAATTTATTGAGAAGCAAAGAATGAAATGGTTTGGTCACCTAATGAGAATGGAACCAACGATGCCAGCATCAAGAGCATACAACATGAAAATCGAAACACCAAGAGGCAAGGGAAGACCAAGAAGAATATGGATTGAAGGAGTCACGGACAACTTGAGACTTTATAACATCACGGCGTATGAAGCGACTGAGCGCGCCCTGGCTCGGTTGCCGATCATCTGATAGACTGCGACGCCTAGCGGCACAAGCAGATTTTGACAAAAGAAGATGAAATAACTAACTAATATTAGTATTTATTTATAGTCGCAGGCTGAGGGTAGGTAAACACGAAAGCCGAAAGGACGAGATTCAGTCTCAGTGAGTTACTAACTCAGTTAGATTTGGGGCCTCATCAACACGTAATCCTATACTAATGAATAATATATTCAATGATTATTTTATAAAAAGAAAGACAAGTTAAGGACAGCAGGATGTTCACGGTAGGCAAATTACCATTGTGGTAATTTAGATACTTTAGTCAAATTTTTAAAATGCCCTCTACACCAATAAAACCAGCACAGTTAGATAGCTGTAAACAATCTATTTCCAACGGTACCTCATTTAGGTTTGTATGTCATTTCTGAGCTGAGATATGTAGGTTTTTGTGGAGATGAGATGTAAAAAACAGCTGTTGAAAACTTGCGTCCCAGAAACAAGTTTTCTCTGCACAACCAAACTGCGCACTTCTGTTTTGGCTTTCTTTACATTGGACAAGATGGCAGACAATTTTTCTCAGACACAGCCACATAATAGCGATTGCTTGAAAAATGTCACTGTAAATTGAATTAGCCATACCTAGGAAAGACATTTTATATACAAATGTAAAATTGGACGGAGAATTCAATTATAACAAGCATTACCATGTCTGGTAATGTTTAAGGCCTAAAGCCAACCTTGAATACTTTACCGCTATTTTCAATCAAACTGATGTAACAGAAAAACAGAGGACATCCGGCTGTCGTAGACATGCGCTGTTAATCGTGTTCGTTCCCGCTGTTTTCAGCTATTTATAGCTGGTGAAAATCACACCAATCGCAAAATTTCATGAGAGATTAGGACCCATCCCGAAACCCCAGCCGAAATTTCCCAAACAAGTTTCAAACGGTTTCCATGGTAACAGAAATTGCCAAAAAGACCTCAAATTTCCTAACACAGTAGTCGCTAGGTAATTGCAGACATTTTTCTGGTAACAGTTGTCAATTGTTTGTCTGCAAACTTTAGAGAAGCTAAAGCTCAAGGTGCTTCCCTCTGACTGATTGATTGATTGTAAAAATGAATCACCACAAAAAGAATAACAAAGTGCAAGGTGCAGTACCTTGGTGAGTATAATACCTAATAGTACTACTACTACTTTGTAACTAACTGTAGTGTCCAAAGGTTGTCCATACATTTATCAATCATTCACCTCTCTTCATCCTATTTTATTTTCAAAATTTCTTTTTTTGAACAAGTATCACATGTTGTATTACATTACTATTAAATTAGCCGGCTATGATCCGAATAACGGTCCAGAATTATTGAGTCTAAAAAAAAATACCCTAACAGGGCCTCAATGTTTGTTACTGCCGCCAGTAAACTGCGCTAAATATTCAGTAAAAAATGCTAAACTAGTGCTGCTGTGGTAATGTCGCATCCGCATTCCATCCATAACCCTTCAGTCGATAGAGTCGCGGTTTCACTGTTGTGACAGATTCTGGAGGCGGTATCGTAATTGCAATACACCTTGCGCTAAGCCTAAACCAAGGGAAGAAGCTGAACCTATGACCCAGGAGAGAAGCTAAACCTAGGACCCTAGGAAGAAGCTGAACCTATGACCCAGGGAAGAAGCTGAACCTATGACCCAGGGAAGAATCTGAACCTAGGACCCAAGGAAGAAGCTGAATCTAGGACCCAGGGAAGAAGCTGAACCCAGTACCCAGGAGAGAAGCTGAACCTAGGACCCAGGAGAGAAGCTGAACTTAGGACCCAAGGAAGAAGCTGAACCTAGGACCCAGGGGAGAAGCTAAACCTATGACCCAGGGAAGAAGCTGAACCTAGGACCCAGGAGAGAAGCTAAACCTAGGACCCAGGGGAGAAGTTGAACCTAGAACCCAGGGGAGAAGCTGAACCTATGACCCAGGGAAGAAGCTAAACCTAGCACACAGTGTTGGAGCTGTTGACACCCTCGATGATTTGGGACTGTTATTTTGAGGAGTGTTTCATGCGGTACATTCGCTGGAAATAAGTCAGCAATTTACATATTATTGAGGCCCTGTTAGGGTACTTTCTTAGCCTCAATAATTTGGAACTGTTATTAGGTGGATAGCCAATTAGCCTTTTCGTGTGGTACGTGTGGTGATTGGCCATTTTGCAGAGTGATGTTTTGGAGTCAGGATTAATTCAATTTACATTCTCTTGCATTCAATGCTGTGTGTGCAAGTCATCAAAGTATGCAATTTATATATCTGTGTATTCTGTTACTTGTTTCTCATCAAGTTTGTCAGTTGTAACCAAGTTTTCACATCAATTTGCCCCTATCCCTCAATGTTAGGCACACACAGACTGGACTGTCACTTGTTAGCACCTTTGCATCTTTCCTGATAGTAGGGCAATATTGTGCTTCAGAAAGGCATGAGAATCATAGCCTGCGTTAAGAAAAGTCTTCCACGGTATTCAGAAACAAGGTACTCTAAGCATTCTTCTGTAAAACCACATCTCTGAGGCCTCAAGAAATTGTTTGGCCTGCCTACCGATTGTCCAGGACTCACAGCCATATGTTAAAACTGAATGCTGTTTCCCCAGCTATGACAGACTTAGGGAACAGTAACTATTGTGTTAATGAGAGAGTTATTGCAGTGTATGCAGAAACGGGTGTAAGGTAACCACTATTTGTATTCGGTCCGGCCGCAAGTATTCAGCCAAATACTGAATAGTTATTAGGTCCACTATTTGGCCCCAAAGCGAATACGAAGTGAATATTCGGTACAGCCCTAGTTATTACCCACGATGTGCAGACTGTACCAGTAAACAAGAACTGCAAGCTGTTAATTTGGTAGAGTTCACATTAGTGTTACTTAGTAGCTTAGTTTTGAAATATGTGGTCACTTGTTTCATCTGTCATTAGTGGCAACCCGAAGAGGTACGGAAGCAGGGATGTCGTCCACATGCCTGCACTTAGCCTCTCAGGACAGAAGGCGGAAGTCAAGTCATGATGGAGATGATAACGTCACAGAAAGTGAGAAACATCTACAGAGTCTCCTGAAGCGTCAGATAAAGACAGATCTCACACTGACAGAGTAAGAATGTCTTGGCCAGCTCTTGTCTGTATTTAAAATGGTTGTAATTATCTGCTGGGTACTTGACTTCTGGTAACATCTGTTTACTTTGTGAGAGTTCTGGTAACATCTGTTTACTTTGTGAGAGTTCTGGTAACATCTGTTTACTTTGTGAGAGTTCTGGTAACATCTGTTTACTTTGTGAGAGTTCTGGTAACATCTGTTTACTTTGTGATTCATTTATTTCTTAAGTAAGCCTCAAGTTTACAAAGGTCAGATTTTTAAGAGCATGCATCTTTCCCATTGCAACATACACCTGTGAGACCTGGACACTTACTAAACAAGCGGAACAGCGCATAAATGCATTTGAATATAAATGTTACAGACAGGTTCTAAGAACTTTAAATTCTGTTTGGTAAAGAAAACAAATGCATCCATACTTCAAGAGCTGAATATTGAAGGTTTTGGCTAGTAAAGACAATAAAACAAAAGAAAATTGAAATATTTTGGTCACTTGAAACATCATGGAAGTCTAGAGAGAACAATAGGTTTGTCCTCATCCAGGGGTACATGGCTGGGGAAGAGAGGAAGAGGAAGGCCATGGAGAAGATGGGTGCATCATGTAGCTCAGGATAGGAAGGTTTTTGTTGGCTGGATCTCCAGAGGTTTGTATCAGATCCAGGTAGTTCTATGCTCAGGATGATCATAGGTTTCAGTCCCCATCCAGTGTAGTGCTGTTGGCTGGATGAGCGAGTTTTTCCATCCAGTGTAGTTCATTGGCTGGATGATCATGAGTTTTCAGTCCCCATCCAGTGTAGTGCTGTTGGCTGGATGATCATAGGTTTGCCCTCATCCAGTGTAGTTCTAATTGGCTGGATGATCATATGTTTCAGTCCCCATCCAGTGTAGTTCTGTTGGCTGGATGATCATATGTTTCAGTCCCCATCCAGTGTAGTTCTGTTGGCTGGATGATCATAAGTTTCAGTCCCCATCCAGTGTAGTTCTGTTGGCTGGATGATCATAGGTTTGTCCTCATCCAGTGTAGTTCTATTGGCTGGATGATCATAGTTTCAGTCCCCATCCAGTGTAGTGCTGTTGGCTGGATGATCATATGTTTCAGTCCTCATCCAGTGTAGTTCTGTTGGCTGGATGATCATATGTTTCAGTCCCCATCCAGTGTAGTGCTGTTGGCTGGATGATCATAGTTTCAGTCCTCATCCAGTGTAGTTCTGTTGGCTGGATGATCATATGTTTCAGTCCCCATCCAGTGTAGTTCTGTTGGCTGGATGATCATAGGTTTGTCCTCATCCAGTGTAGTTCTATTGGCTGGATGATCATAGTTTCAGTCCCCATCCAGTGTAGTGCTGTTGGCTGGATGATCATAGGTTTGTCCTCATCCAGTGTAGTTCTATTGGCTGGATGATCATAGTTTCAGTCCTCATCCAGTGTAGTGCTGTTGGCTGGATGATCATAGGTTTGTCCTCATCCAGTGTAGTTCTGTTGGCTGGATGATCATATGTTTCAGTTCTCATCCAGTGTAGTGCTGTTGGCTGGATGATCATAGTTTCAGTCCTCATCCAGTGTAGTGCTGTTGGCTGGATGATCATAGTTTCAGTCCTCATCCAGTGTAGTGCTGTTGGCTGGATGATCATAGGTTTGTCCTCATCCAGTGAAGTTCTGTTGGCTGAATGATCAAAGATTTCAGTCCCATCCAGGCATATTTGAACCCTGTCACCCAAAGAAGACTAAATCCAGTCACTTCCGGCTGTGACACAGTCCTTTAAAAATGTAAAAAACCAGTGTGTGCAGTGCCGTAATAAAAAAAAGCATAGTTAAAAGCCATTATTTCTGTGTGATCCTGTGCAGTGTTAAATACGCCAGGTTATGAGTATAGTAACAAAAAGTGATGTCATTATTACCCCCCACTGGGTTTTTCAAAGCCTGTGTCAGATATTCCTGTAAGCCTCACTGATAGAGGTCACAGTATGCATCATCCTGTACATTGTGTTTTAGGCCCAGGAAATGTTTTTTTATCTATTGCTTCAGTGTGTTAATGTTTGATTGATTACCCCTTTTAAATATGATTATATATTAGAAAAAAAAAAGACTTGGAGAAAGGTGAAGCCAGGTTATAACTGAGGAGATCACTCATAGACAGACTGAGGGCAACAGATATTACTGTCAACAAATTCTCTTCCAGTGAATGTAGCTAACATAACAACTGAAGACAAGTACACATAGTCTGAGGGATCATCTTTTGTCAATTGATATTTCATCATGAATGTACAAATCATGTAACCATTCTATGGCACAGAATCTTGACTGTTGATTGTATAATGAAGAGGTCAAGACAGTCATGCGTTCTCTTTGTTTCCATTCAGGCAGCTCTCCCAACATCGGTCCTTCTCTTTGGCTACATCACATGACCCGGAAGCGGAGAAGTTGACTGGGATTCGCAGTTTGGACAAGTACAAAACAGTAAATGACCTTGATTCCAGAATTGATTTTTTGAGACACTGTGGTCTTGATGATGCGGAGATTACCCTCAAATTGAAGGATGAGTTGAAAGATAAGGTACATGGGACTTGTTCTCCCTGTCTCTGCTGGCCATGTAGGCAAATGATGTACGCTTGTTTTATGTGTGTGTGTGTTTTGTTCTGGTCTTTGCATTTATGCCAGTAGTGTTATGAAATGCAGATTTAAGCAACATGTGTTGACCTGTAGCAGCATAAGCATAGAAAATTAAACAAAACACACAAAAAAACAGATACTTACAACACCAGCAGCCATCGTGGTGTAGCAGCTAGATGCTTAGCTGTGGATCTGAAATGTCATAGATTGAAATTTGAATGGAGCTGGACTTTTTTTTTTTAAACGACCTTGGCTGTCAGGTCAACACAGCCTGAAATGGGTACCGGGTAAAGTCATAGGAAATAAAGGCAGCCAGCATGACCGTGACCACATCACCCACCCATTGCTGATTGGTCTATAAAATATAGGTCAAGCCTTATATGCCTAATAGGTCTAAAGGTGTGGGAAAGAGTCCTTGACCCACGGCGCCAGTTAAAGGTCGTTGCATATCCTTTACAGGACATTGCTGAACCAACCCTAGCATTTTTTAGCGGTTGTGGTTTTTAGGCAAATTTACTTCAGTAATTTGCCATTGCTTTCTAAACAGTTGGCTCTTGATACCACTGTCAAAACCATTGTAAGCAGGTCTGCTGTCAAATCTCCCGCAGCTGGGACTACGGCAGCGGGCATTACAGAAATATGAAATTGTAAGATTATTTGCTGGTGCTGTCTGAAATAAAATAAATAAATTTAAGAACAAAACATGCATCTTGACAACCTCTGATATCATCACGTGCCATGCTGGATAGATTAGACTAGCATGTCCACTGTCATCATCTCTCCTCTGCATATGGTTCATGTTTTGGCAGTGATCGGGTTCTCTACGAGTCCATGTAACATTTCTGCCTCTGCCATTATTATAGGACATCTTCTTGGTTGACATAACTTTCTGTAGAGCCTCTCGTTCCAGAACACTGAGAGGGGGAAACAAATCAGTGTTCTTATTGCTCAACATCTGTAGTTATCTGTATTTATGAATGCACTTGATGCAGTTTATAGAAACATCAGTGTTGATTGTTGTCTTCACTGTACAGGTGACAGCGGTACCTACTGGATACGGCGAGGAGCCACAGAGCAAGTTGCAGAAACTACAAAACATTGAGAGCAAGATCCATGAGAAGGAAAGATTGCTGAAAGTGCCTGATACTTATAAAGGAGCTCTAGAGTTGAGCAGGACATTCTCTGCAGCTAGAGACATGTCTGGGTCAGCGACAAGGGAAAGAACCTTCTTTCACAGACGTAGTCATCACTCAGAAACAATTTGAAGTTACTCATCCTGATGACCCAGTGAACCACATCCATGAATTACTTGATGATCTTGAAGACAAAAAAGTGAGGGAGCCAAGGCGAGAGAGAAGAAGAAGAAGGAAGTTAGAAAGAAAGAAGATGTATTATGCAGCATTGAATGATGATGTTGATAATGGTAACAGTGTGGCTGGAAGTGGTGATGACTCTTCAGATAATCGTGATGATGCTGACTTAGATAAGTGTACCAACTCACAACATCTTGTACTTTCATCTGCAAGTCTTGACCTAGAACTTCCACAGACACTTGCAGCCCACCCTGATGAGATCCTGGCTACTAATGAATCAGGCTCCTGTGGTCTTACAGCTCAGACTCGTTGCCATGATCAACAGTCACATGATAAACATTTGGTGTTTGCTACAGGAGATGAGGGTGTCAAAATGAGCTTGGATGATTGCCCAACGTCTGTGTCCTCACGAACAGTCAAAACAATTAATCGGCCAGTTCAGTTAATACCGGAAGATGAGATAGCCAGAAACAAACTCAGCTTAGAAGATATTCGAGCAATAGATAAGTTTCACAACTACACAGAAGGCCAGCCAAATGAGGTCAGTTGTTTCCTATGAGGTTTTGTGTCTTCTTCTTGTTGTCTTGTTTACTTTCTGTTTATCAGCATCTGTTTTGTGTTGTTTGAAAATATAAGATGGTGAGTAGCCACATAAAGTTTGGTTAACTGGTAAACCTATACAAGTATAGTGAGTGAAGGAGAAACAGCAACTGTGAAAGAACATTGCAAGAATATGGTATCCAGTACCCTAGTGAGAATTGTATGAATGAATGAATGAATTTCTACCCCACCAGGGCGTCACACAAGTGATAAACACCCGATGACACAAAGTGACACCATGTGGGTGAGGATCACCGTGGAGAGGTCCCAGAAACCGCATTCAGACAATTTGCCATATTTATGGCCTGCCTATATTGTGACCCCTGGCAGAAGCCAGAGTGGGGCTTCAAAAAACAAAAAATTACGTCCTGAAAAGGACTTAAGGGCGCACTTTATGATTCCAGCTGGAATTGTAGCTTTATCAGAACACAAAAACAAACCGATTGGTAAAGGAATCTTTCACACTTGAGGCTGTTATTTGGTATCTTTCAGTTCATTGCTGGCATCACCATGAAAGCTTGTTAAGTTTAACCTGTTCTTTAAGTTTGTGGCTCAGTACATCAGTATTCAACCAGCATGTATTTAGGGTTGTATCCCTTAACCTTTTACTGTCTTCTTTCTATCTACAAAGATGCAGATTCATGCCCAGTTATCCCCCCTGTCCCTTGACCTGTCTGATGTGATGTGATGTCTCTTCCAGTTACATTCCTGTAATCAGGTGGTTATCTTTTCCCTCTGCAGGTTATCTATGTGAAAAATTTACCCAACAAGATAACAGAAGAGGATCTTATAGCGCTGTTTGGTGCCTTCCAGTCTGAGGGAAAACCCAGAATTGTGTTTAAACTGTTGTCAGGCAGAATGAAAGGTCAAGCATTTATCACTTTCCCAGGTATGTCCTCACTATCATCTTTGTGGTTGGTATCACATGTCTCCACATTCTTGCATGGCAGCCATTTTTAGTGCTGCTGAAAAAAACAGTACTTCCCCAATTTAGGACAGCCTGGTATGTTCAGTGATTCACCTACGACAGGTGAAATCGGACCTCACGTGTTAAATCAAAAACATTATGGATTACGTGGGTGTTGAGGGGGGGGGTGTGTTAAATTGTTGTTTTTTGTATGTTGCTAATTTTTTGTGTGTGTGTGTGTGTTTTGTGTGTGTTATTTGTTTGTTTGCCATGTTAATTGTGTGTGTGTTTGTGTGTAGTTGTGTATGTTGCTAATATTTGTGTGTGTGTGTGTATTTGTGTTTTTTGTTTGTTTTTATTTTTTGTGTGTGTGTGTGTGTGTGGGTGTGTTTTTGTGTGTGTTTATATTTGTGGTGTGTGTGTTTTGTGTGTGCTGTTTTGGTGTGCCTATGTGTGTATGTGTGTGTTGGGTGCCTATGTGTTTTGTGTGTATTGGTTGTGTTTGTGTGTGTTTGTGTGTTTTGGGTTTGTGTGTGTGTGTGTGTTTATTGGGTGTGTATGTGTGTGTGTGTGTTGGGTGTGTTTTTGTATGTGCTGTATTGGGTATGTGTGTGTGTGTATTGTGTTTTATGTGTTGTATTGGGTGTTGTGTTGTGTGTATATTGTGTGTTGTGTGTGTGTATGTTGTGTTTTTGTGTTGTTGCTAATTTTTTGTGTGTGTATGTGTGTGTTTTTTGTTTTGTATGCTAATATTTTGGGTGCCTATGTGTGTGTGTGTTTTTTGGGTTGCTAATTTGTGTGTGTGTGTTTGTTGTTTTTGTATGTTTAATATTGTGTGGTGTGTGTGTGTTTGTATGGTTTGTGTTGTTTGTGTTTGTGTGTGTGTGTATGTGTATTTGTGGTTGTTTGTTTGTGTTTTTTTGTGTGTGTGTTTGTGTGTTTGTGTGTTGTGGTGTATTGTGTTTGTGTGTGTGTGTGTGTTGTATTGGTTGTGTTTGTATTTTTGTGTATTGTTTTGTGTGTGTGTGTGTGTTTTTTTGTATTTTGTTGTTTTTTTTTTGTGTGTGTGTGTGTGTGTTTTGTATGTTGCTGTTATTTGTGTGTTGTGTGTATGTGTGTTTTTTTATGTTGCTAATATTTTTTGTTTTTGTGTGTGTGTATGTGTGTGTTTTGTTTTTTTTTTAATTTTTTTGTGTGTGTGTGTGTGTGTTTGTGTTTGTTTTGTATGTTTGCTTTTTTGTGTGTGTGTGTGTTTTTTTGTTTTGTTGCTATTTTTGTGTGTGTGTGTTTGTGCCTTGTGTGTTTTGTTGTGTAATATTTTTGTGTTTTTGTGTTTGTGTTGTGTGTATTTGCTAATTTTGTGTTTTTGTGTATGTTTTGTATTATTTTGTTTGTGTTTTGTTGTGTGTGTGTGTCTATTTGTTTGTTTTAATATTTTTATGTTGTGATGTGTGTTTTTTGTGTTTGTTTGTGTGTTATTTTTGTTGTGTGTGTGTGTTATGTTTGTGTGCTGTTTTTTTGTGCCTATGTATTTTTGTGTGTTGTGTTTGTATGTTTTTGTATGTGTATTGTTGTTGTGTGTGTAATGTGTGTTTTTTGTATGTTGCTAATATTTTGTGTGTGTGTGTGTGTGTATGTGTGTGTTTTTTTTATGTTGCTAATGTGTTTGTGTGTGTGTGTTTGTGTGTGTGGTGTGTGTTTGTATTTGTGTGCTGTGTGTTTGTTTGTATGTTTTGTTTGTTTTGGGTGTGTTGTGTATTGGGTTGTGTTGTGTGTGTTTGTTTGTTTTTTGTGTTGCATAATTTGTTGTGTGTGTGTGTGTTTTGTATGTTTGCTTGTGTATTGTGTGTGTGTGTGTGTTTTTGTATGTTGTATATTTTAATATTTTGTGTGTGTGTGTGTGTGTGTTTTGTATGTTTGCTAATATTTGTGTGTGTGTGTGTGTGGTTGTTGTGTGTTGCTAATATTTGTTTGTGTGTGTGTGTGTTGTATTGTGTGTTGTTTTGTTTGTGTGTGTTGTGTGTTTTGTGTGTGTGTGTATTGTTTTTGTGTGTGTGTGTGTGTTTGTATGTTGCTGTGTGTTTTTGTGTGTGTGTGTTATGTGTTTGTGGTGTGTGTGTTTTGTAATGTTTTGTTGTGTGTATTTGTGTGTGTGTTTGTATGTTGCTAATTTTGTTTTGTGTGTGTGTTTGTATTGGGTGTTTGTGTGTGTGTGTGTGTGTGTTATGTGTGTTTTAGTATTTGCTAATATTTGTGTGTATGTGTGTGTGTGTTTTGTATGTTATTATTTGTGTGTGTGTGTGTGTGTGTTGTTTTTGTATATTTGCTAATATTGTGTGTGTGTGTGTTTGT